CACAGAGAACTACATACATTTGACTAATACATTACAATAAAACTAATTGTTACTAGATGAAAGTTAAAATTGAGAAATGAGAAGAGCATTTTCTGTATCATTCGTGACTAATCTGATCGTTGGGGCATGTCGAACGGGCATATTCGGAAGTGCCTAGGACTCCAGTAGAAGGGCTGCTGGGGCACTGGTGGATGGGCTAAGTGGCACTGCTAAAAGGGGCGAGGAAGCTACATTTTAGGATGAACTGCGAAGTCACCACTGGAAGGGCAGAAGGGGGTACCATAGGGTAGACAGATAAAGGGGTACCATAGGGAAGACAGATAAAAGGGTACCATAGGGAAAACAGATACAGGGGTACCATAGGGAAAACAGATAAAGGGGACCATAGGGAAGACAGATAAAGGGTACCATAGGGAAAAAGATAAAGGGGTACCATAGGGAAAAAGATAAAGGGGTACCATAGGGAAAACAGATAAAGGGGTACCATAGGGAAGACAGATAAAGGGGAACCATAGGGAAACAGATAAAGGGGTACCATAGGGAAGACAGATAAAGGGGTACCATAGGGAAGACAGATAAAGGGGTACCATAGGGAAGACAGATAAAGGGGTACCATAGGGTAGACAGATAAAGGGGTACCATAGGGAAGACAGATAAAAGGGTACCATAGGGAAAACAGATACAGGGGTACCATAGGGAAAACAGATAAAGGGGTACCATAGGGAAGACAGATAAAGGGGTACCATAGGGAAAACAGATAAAGGGGTACCATAGGGAAAACAGATAAAGGGGTACCATAGGGAAGACAGATAAAGGGGAACCATAGGGAAAACAGATAAAGGGGTACCATAGGGAAGACAGATAAAGGGGTACCATAGGGAAGACAGATAAAGGGGTACCATAGGGAAGACAGATAAAGGGGTACCATAGGGAAGACAGATAAAGGGTACCATAGGGAAAACAGGTAAAGGGGTACCATAGGGAAGACAGATAAAGGGGTACCATAGGGAAGACAGATAAAGGGGTACCATAGGGAAAACAGATAAAGGGGAACCACAAGCAAGACAGATAAAAGGGTACCATAGGGAAGACAGATAAAGGGGTACCATAGGGAAGACAGATAAAGGGGAACCAGAGAGAAGACAGATAAAGGGGTACCATAGGAAAGACAGATAAAGGGGTACCATAAGGAAGACAGATAAAAGGGTACCATAGGGAAGACAAATAAAGGGGTACCATAAGGAAGACAGATAAAAGGGTACCATAGGGAAGACAGATAAAAGGGTACCATAGGGAAGACAGATAAAAGGGTACCATAGGGAAGACAGATAAAAGGGTACCATAGGGAAGACAGATAAAGGGGAACCACAAGGAAGACAGATAAAAGGGTACCATAGGGAAGACAGATAAAAGGGTACCATAGGGAAGACAGATAAAAGGGTACCATAAGGAAGACAGATAAAGGGGTACCATAGGGAAAACAGATAAAGGGGTACCATAGGGAAGACAGATAAAGGGGAACCACAAGGAAGACAGATAAAAGGGTACCATAAGGAAGACAGATTAAGGGGTACCATAAGGAAGACAGATAAAGGCGTACCATAGGGAAGACAGATAAAGGGGTACCATAAGGAAGGCAGATTAAGGGGTACCATAAAGAAGACAGATTAAGGGGTACCATAGGGAAGACAGATAAAGGTGTAATATAGGGAAGGCCAATAAAGGGGTACCATTGAAAGAGACACTCGACTAGGAGTACCATTATTATACACCTATATATATATATATATATATATATATATATATATATATATAATATATATATATATATTATATATATATGGTATCATCTCTCTAACGTTCAATCTCTCCCGAAACATCTCCAGATATCCTCTCCCTGCGTGTAAACCCCGCTATCTGATAACTGCTCGAGCAACTGATGACAGCTCAAGCATCCCGGCCTGCGTGGACTTCGACTGTTCGGTCAGGAATAAGACGTAAGAACTGATACCTGTTATCTCTTGTTAAAAAAAAATAAATAAATGAAAAATAAAAAAATAAAAAACGCTTAATGAATTATGGTTTTGTGCTGATATTTCGTTCGCATGTGTGCTTGCTAGTGGTGGTTTTCTAACATGGTCACAGAGATAATTTGGTGCACCCAGGACTAACAACAGGGAGGAAAAATACGTTAAGTTAGGATTCACAAGTCAAGAACCTCATTTTCAATTATATGACACATAGCTAATCATACGCCTTCTCCGTGTTTCATTTCAGAGATTGCAGTAACGTTATCTGGTGTCTTTGGTCGGAAGAAAAGTGCCAAAATGTGGATTCATGATAGGATGTTTTGGTTAAAACTTTAGATACCTAGACTTAACGACATAATTATACACACTCTGGTCACATTACCAAATGAAAGTCTGTAAAAGCTAATTAATCTCGTTTGAATATGAACATTGGCAACAGATATGTGCTTAGAATAAAGGTCTGAATATATTCTGAAATGTTTTTAGATTTCTTCTAATTAAGAATTTTTTGCGTCCGATTTTACGATCTGTATACCAAAAGAAGCTATAGATGCCAGGTGTCGCTAGCCGGGTATTCAAACTTTTTTCACGCAAAAAAGTCATAATCAAATAAATCCTAACTGAAAAAGTGTACGTTTTATGTAATGTTATAATAGAAAAAAACAGATAAATGTTTTTACGATGAAAAGATAATTATATTCACTACCACTTTGTTATATGCTGTGGTCACATATACAAACTTAAGCAGTCTTTTGTAGATACAGAAGTCCAATGCCCCAGCTCTTTCTCTCTTACTAACGACATTTCAGCGAATGATCTGAACTCAGGACACCTGTGTATACAAAGACGTCTCAGGCCCGTTTCTCTGTGTTCACGAGATGGACATCTCGGCAAGTGACAAAATACTGAAAACGAACAAACAAAGGAAAAGGCAAAAAGAGTTAAGTAATGAGTCTGCAGAACTTGTATCCCCCATCCATCTATGTGCATATTTCAAGAGGGACACAAGCTAGCGACACATGGGGACAAATACCGTTGGGTGTCCTAAGTGCTGAAGATGGCCCATTTAACAAGACTAAAGGAGCCCTAGAATTAAAACTAGGAAGAAATAATATTATGTACGGTGCAAGAATGAAGAAATTCTTACCCGTATAACTACGACCTACGGCAGGAGAAATCCTCGAAATAAGCAGAGCTTTTGGCAGAGGACACTGTACTAACCTCGTTGTGTTCGATGTCCGAGGGAAAGTGACACCAATGAGATCACAGAATACAATGAAAAGATTCTACACCCTAAGCGCATTAAATTTAATGATAGGATGAAACAGCGACTCATCATTACACATGAAGGGGAGAAAAACCCAAACCTTCAAAATTGTGGAGGCATGGCAACTTTCAGGTATGCTGTCTTCAAATCACTCACCCCATTTTTGCGCCAACTGTTCCAGATGGGGGCATGGCGCACGTGCTTGTTCCGCGAACACGCGTTGCGAGTATTGCGCGCCTGCTCATATGAGCAGGAGTGCGCCGAAAAAATCGCACTGGGTAATCAACTTCCAAGGATATGTGTCAATTGTAGACCTGAACATAATGCAAACTCTCCATTATGTGCATATTATCCAAACAACAGAAAAAATAAATTACTAAAGAAGCAAACAGACTGCACTGCCTTCTCATTTCCTCGCCTTAACGATGAGACAGAATTCCCCCAGCTTGGGAGGATAAATGTGCGAGGTATGCTGAAAAGAACAGTCGGTCTCTCCAGCCTTACCATCGGCATCAGCTCCTGCTCCAGCGCCAGCCTCAATTTTCTTCAGTCCTTTCAGTGCCAGTATGCTCCTTCGGCTACTTCGGCATCAACTTCAGAACCTGCTTGAGATCGACATCGCTTTCGACATCTGCAACACATGTTTCAGCACATACAGCAGTTCCAGCTTGTACACCTACTTCATTGCCAGCGCCGACCCCCACACCACAGGGAGAGACAGGACCTACTGCAAATGTTGATGCAGATGAACAAATGATGCTCATAATGCAGCAACATTTGCAAAAGCAACTACAGGTCCAGGAAAAAAATGTTTTCAGTGATCTTTGGACGACGGTTCACCTTCTACAACCTGTAGCAGAATTTGAAAATCATCAGCTGACAACTGATGGCCCACAGTGACTTTGAGTGTACCAGAGTATAACATTAAGATTTATGGAAACGGTTAATTTTTTGTAAAATCATGTTTTTTTCAGTTATTAATAGTTAACCAATAAGGCAAGCACTAAGTGCAGCCCTTTGGGCATGTATATTTAAGGTTTGATTTTGGCCCTTACGTCAATAAAAGTTCAGCCGATTGGGTAGATGCTTACTTCTTTCCCTGGCTTTTTACAGGGCATGTAAACTGCTCTGTAAATATATATTATTTTTTCAAATCAAATCAATCTTACTAATCATCTTTCTATCCCCACCTTATCCCAACCCCCCTCCGGCAACAGGTCTTTTCTTTTAATTTCTTGCTTGCTTGATTGGCTGATGACGTCATAGTTCGTCATAAACGCTGATTGGTGCTGAATGCACTGCCAGGCATAAGGCGAACTAGGGATAAACTATCCAACACTCATTCCACACAGTACGCCTAAGTGTCAACAGTACCATAACGGCATAAATGATTGCTCAAGGCTTGTTCGGAAACTTTCTTCTCCCTCCCTCTCTCTTTCTCTCATTTTGGTTCTCTTTCACATTCTCTCTCTTGTCACCTCTTTCTGTCTCTCTTTCTCACCCTCCCTCTCAATTTCTTTCCCTATCCCTCACATCTCCCCTCTCTCTATTACCTCTTTTCTCTTTTTCTCCTTCCCTTCTCCCCCTTTCTCTCTCTCTCTCTACCACTTTCCATCTCCTTACATCTCCCCGCCCTCTCTATGATCTCTTTCTCTTTTCTTCACCTCCCTCTCTTTCTCTTTCACTTTCCCTCCCCTCATCTCTCTCATAGAGTACATAAATCGGTCAGCACTTATTTTTGAGCTACTATTGCGGTGTTTTGCAAAATTATATCAGCTTTTATTCTCACTATGGAAAAGAGATTTTCCCTGGTAATGCCATTTACACGCATCCTCCGATTTCAGTAAAAAAAAAACTCATTGGCTTTATTTAAACTTGATTCACTTTACAAGATTTCATTGAAATTCATAATATTCATTGGTATTAAAGCCACATTACATGTTTAAATCTTTATATACACAATGCTATTGACAATATACAGAATTGAAGATATGAATTAAAGCACTGTGTCGAAAAGAAAGTTTTCGGATATTTCCAATGGCATATCAAAGAGGAAAAATTCTCCATGTCAGTGGTTTATCCCTTGATCTCTGGAATACAGAATGATCTAGAAATATATAACGTATTTCTGTTGTAAAATATGAAGCACGGCTAAGCTTCTCTGGTGGGGAAATAAGCACAAAAGACATGATGTGAGGTCTCTAGTAATGAATTTCAGTCTGATTTTTAAGGCTTTTATGGGAAGAATTATACGATAATGTAAAAATGCTACATACGTTGCTGAACCCTGAACGCCTCTCTGAGTGTTGGGTAAATCCAATGAAGCGCTACTTCAAATCTGTAGATACAGAATTTATATTTTCTCGTCCACATTGTAACTATAACTTAAAATTCATCAAATAAACTCACAGTATGAATATTCTACTAAATATTTTCGAAGTAGCTTTATACTGAATACAGTTTACTCCTTCGGCACTAGCATGATTTCTAAGGTTCGCTCCCGCTCTCCCACAAATCAATTGTATTATAAAGTTTAAGGAGTGTATCTATAAAGCGAATGGTCAAAGACTATATTCGCAACATAGATCACTTTAAATCGTTTTAGCTCTTACAAGACGATGGGAATATTAAGAAAAAAAATCAGAAGGATTGGCAAGTAAACAAAAAGTACACACACCACACACACACACACACCACACACACACAATATATATTATATATATATATATATATTATATAATATATATTTATATATATATATATATACATACATATATCGTTAAGTAACCTCTCCTTCTGGCGCCCAATGACACACAGACAGATTCACAAGTGTAAGTGCTCACACAACCACCCTGTATGGCAGTGATGCTGCAACTTCTTAAACCTGCCCCACGGGTTCGGTGAGCAACCTTTGACGAGTGTATTCCGCACTCAGGGCACTAAATGAGGTGGCGGGGTGAAGGACAAACAGGTAAGCAATCACGGTTTATTTGCGGGTCACAAAGTTTATTTGCAGGAACAAATCACTCTCGCCAGCACAAGCTTTATTACCTTATTCTGGTCTCCTTAGAGAGAGCAGCACAATCGAGACCGCAGCTTGAGTCACGGACCGTCTCCTCTCCAAGATCTCTTTTCGCACAGCCCGGCACTCACCTCTGGGAGCCAATCACCGCGCCGGAATCTCGTTCCACTCGCGGGCAGCCAATCACGCAACGGCGTGTTTTGGCGGGCTTTTCGGCCGCCCGAACATCCACATATTTTGGCGGCTTTTCGTTGCCACGAAACACAAACACACTCACATTATTAAAAAATACCCTTTTTAAATAATATATATATGTTCTAGTTACATAACGCCATTATATTTTCCTAGAAAATTCCCCAACTTGTCGCAAAATTTACGCTGTTGCAATATAAAGTACGGCTGAAATTATCGAATACTATAAAAGAAAATAACTAATCATTATGATATACAAGATAATGCTGAACGAAAACAGCACATCATCATTCACTAATACAATTATTTCAAAACAATTCCATAAAATGATACCAAAATACTCTTACCACATTATATTTGTTTTTGTATCTTTAAGGCCTGATTTCATAATAAGCATACAATGAATAAGTGGCAGTTTGTACCCAATACAAGTAATGGCCTCGTTACATAATAGATATACTTACAGGAAAACCTATAAAAATAAAGAGCGTATTATACAATGGCCATGAAGTAGAATCGAATGATTTGTTTACAAAATCGCCTTGCTGTGACGTCATTTTCTTCTACAGACTTTCGTTACATTAATCGATTCATGAAAATATTATCGCACTGTGCAGATACATTACCCTACCAAATAAAAAACAAAAATTGAAATATTTCTTGATTTATAATAATTCTAATTATGAATGAAACACCAATTTTTAAGATCACTTTCCCGAAAGGAGGTTGTCACATAACGTGCAGTGTGAAATTAATTTTTAATACGGAAAAAATATAAATAGCGACACTATAACATCTAGAAGCATTTATTACATTAAAGTGAAACATTTATACCTTTATTTATTCATTTATTCATATTCAACATGATCGATTCGTGATGATGATATGACAATCGACAATTTGGTGATAAGCAACTTTTAGAATAACATTAATTCACGCCGAAAATATTGTATTAGACTAATTAGGAATAACCTGGCAAGCCTATACAG